AAAAAAGAAAAAGGGAGTTAAGGACGATAGGTGTTTGATAGGAAAGAAGGAGCAAACCACACCAAAGCACCCGCCAACCACCCACTAAAACACTTTACACAAAAAAACCATCAATGGCTACCTTTCTGAAAATAATTATTTCCCCTTTAAACTGTTCTTTAAATCTGTGTCTGATAAGAAATTGCACATACCAGCAGAACCCTCCAACCACCCGCAACCTCACACTGAAAGCGTTAGAAATACACACACAACACCCACGCGTTCGTAGGAGAGAGCACTTGGAAGTAAGCAGAACGGGAAGAAGAAAAAACACGGCAAACAGCTCACGCAGCAGGTAACAGAAATTGTTGATGACTAGCTTTTCTTTTTTTCTTTCTTTCTTTTTTCATCTTTTTCTTGCTCCAGATCCAACCAGACCGCCAAGCGTTTTGGGCAACATTTCAAGACAGTCGGGTAACTATAGTTGCCAGCTGAGACGACGCAGTGTAGAAGATAGAGCGTTTTAGGACGACGTGTTGAGCACAAGACGACGCCAGTGCACAGGACGGGACGCCTTCGGGTTATACCCTACAAAATATGGTGAAATTGTTGTTGTTGTTGTTGTTGTTGTTGTTGTTGTTGTTGTTGTTGTTGTTGTTGTTGTAACGCCTTGCCCCTTATCACACTTTATAATATCTTTTATTTACTGAAAACCAGACAGACAGACACCTATGAAATGTGCAGCATAAAAAAAAGACTAAAATTAGAGAGACATCGCACGAAAATACACTTGTTTTACTAGGAGTTAATAAAGAACTCTTGAAAGGAACAAAGTAAAAAATAAAGAAACTTGAACTGGCTTAATTTAGACTCATGGTGAGATATGGCAGACTTAAAGAAGAAGGAATGAGAAGCAAAGAACGCCCAAAACACAAATGGACAAAAATAATAAAACACATATGACATGAGACTAAAGGCTCTTTGGGCGCATACCGATAACGCACAACACATTGGCTTGGAGAGCCATGGCACGTTATACCTCAGCCAGTAAGCTTATGTTGATTAAAGCACGTTTCGTTAATACACACGTGAATTTGATTAAATACTATAATCCATGTTATATATATAACTCCTGTTGGAGTCTTAGAAAATAATACAAAAACAGAAAAAGCAAAAACAAAACCCAGGACAAGCATGCCACTAGGTAATTGAAGAGTGAGCATCACTCGCAGTAAAAGAGGCACACCTTTGATGTCTTTTTTGTGGTAGGTTTTAACCAACACAACAGACATAACATTACTATGCAGCCTGCATTCAATCCCAGAGCAATAGGAGTGAGAGCTCAGAACATTCTAAGGAGTTACGACCTACAAAGAGCCTGGCTCAGAGTACGGCCGACAGCCGGGCTCAGTCTGCATACCACCGTCGATTTCGACTTAGAGTTGGTCAACTTAGTTTGAGTTTGAGTAAAAAGAAACACATCGATACAATAATGGTCATTTAGAGCAGGGAAAAGATAAAATGGAAAGACAGACAGACAGACAGACAGACAGAAACAACACAGAGAAGATAAAGAGGTAGAACCTGGCGCCCTCCAACCACTCGCAGAGCAAACTTAACGCCGAAGAGAAAAGCGAGGCTATTTAGGACGTGGGGTACACCTGGATGACTTACAGGTGGGAGTAGCTGTTTACAACACAGAGCTGGGAGTCGGGATTGAAAACGTTGGGAAACACGCAAACGTATGGAGTGCGGGGGTGGAAGCTCTCTTTCTTCACGTACACGTAAGCGTTCTCGATAAATTCTAATGACGTAGTTAAGATTTTTTTAGTCTACGGGTAAAATGCACGGATCTCTTTTGCGAAAACAAAACTAAAGACATTAGAAACTTCGAGGGGCTCTTCTTATACATGTAGCAGATAACCTGAATGTGTTGTACTCTGAGCCGCAGAAGATCAAAATGTAACACAGCTGCTGAAGCTGAATAACTGATAACTCAAAACAAAATAATGCTCGGCGCAGCTGATATAAAGAGCGACGCTGAAGTTATTTTGAAGCACACTAGGACAATAACTGTTCTTCCAGATTCATCATTTGCTTACACAGTCAAATCAGAGAAAGGGATAAGAACGTCGCGATCGTAGAAAAACACACGTGAGGGTTAGACAATGGACAAAGCCGCAATAAAAGGCAAAATTGACGAAGAAATGGGAAGGGAACAAGAGCTGGAGGTAAGAACGTTGAATTTAACTTAAGACATGTGGCGTATGATATGATTTCGTTTATAGATTTGACGCCCA